CCGCTACCCGCTACCCGCTACCCGCTATCCGCTGAATTTTAACCGCTATCCGCTACAGCTTGATGTAAAGTGTGTTAAAATCATATCTAAAAATGTTAGTATCAAAACGTATTAGAGCTAAATCATGAGTGATATCTTGAACTTTTCAATTAAGAAAAAACCCTTAGTTTTTTCTTAATCCAAATAAGTTTAGAGGCTTAATTAATTTCTTGAAAATGAAAAAAAATATGTAAGGGCTATTAGCAGACAAAAGTCACAAAACACCAAACGCCTTATATATATATATTATTAACTTCTTGATATTCGATAACCATATTGGATCTCGATTAATCCAAAATTAAACTGCTTTGGATCTCATTTGGGGGAAAGTTCTCCCTCAAGACTCAAATTTGATATTTTATTTAAAAGAAATTGAGTTCTTTCTACTCAGACCAATAGATCATTAATAAACGTCTTATATTTGTAATAGTTGTTACAATCAAGCACACTAAATTGAAGAGAGAGAGAGAGAGAACAAAAGAAAAGACGTTATTACATTAGCCAGTCACACCCAAAGACTGATTAACCCTAAAAATTGAGACACTGAGTACCTAAGCCATACAGAAGCCATGACTCATGAGGAGCTATCATTCTTACAGAGAGCTACAACCCCATTAATTTCTTATTACAGATCAACTGTTCGATCATATGCCACACTAGATCATATCTTTCTGTCCAACCACGACATGGTGTATCGAATGAGGGCGTCCCACTCGTTCGGACCTATGTATCCATCTCCATCCTTATCAGCTTCTTCCATTGCGCTCCACACTCGAACCAGAGGAAACCGCGAACCCAAGGAGGCGAACGCCCTGCGGAGCTCGTGTTCACTAAGGCGGCCGTCGCCGTTGGCGTCGTATTTCTTGAAATGACTTTTGAGCTGCTCATACGGGGATACCGGCTGCGGTGGATTGGGGACAGCGGCAGCTAGCTGGGGGGAATATCCCTGCAGGGGGAAATTTGGTGCAGGATTATTGAAATTACCTGCTTTTTGTTTCCTTTCGTTCCTGACACAAACGACGTTGAAGAAACGGCCGTTGTCTGGGCCACCGCCGTAGGCTGGCGGTACGAGGGGGTTGTGGGCTTGATCGGCATAATAATTGCGACCGGCAAGAGACATGACCACTAGAAATTAAGGAAGTTCCTTGGGTTGCTGCAAACTATAACCGTAGAGGCGTGGGAATATATTGATGATCAGAGGTCCGGTCAAGGGTTGAACTGTCTAAGGAAATATCATGGATATCAAGATAATTACAGAATCAATGCAGAATCAATCACCGAGGCAAACACCGAATCAATCAAGTAAGCACGTGCTCACGGAATAAGTTAGCTATTACTGTACAGCACAACTTATGTCCACTGATAGGGCAAAGAGTGTAAATAGAAATTGATTGTATTATTTGTTTCCTTGAGAACAGACTAGTACTACCTACTCTACGGATGTATATATATCGCTTTGGTACATCTCTATCTTCTATTCCATATGCACTACAGGCAAATAAATTTTGTTTTGTAAGTTGAATTTAAAATTTAAATTTTGAAATCAACACTTAAAAAATAAAAATGAAATTTATTTCTTATCCCAGTCAATATGAGAGGGAGCATTTAAGATGATTAGGGAGAGGTTAATTAATCTCCAGATATATGGTATAAATTGATCCGTCCAAATAAAATAAAATATTTTTAGGCAAGCAAAGTGGATTCGGTACTCTTCAACCAATTTTCACAACTGAAATTCCCACTTTCAACAAATGCTTATCAATGACATGGGTATTTTTATCAGTGATATAGAATTTTACCGATAAAGATTACGTTATTGAAAGTTATTCTTTTCTAAAGGTAACTTTCACTTTCAACAACAAAGAGTATATTGTTAAAAATGAATTCAACAATAAGGGACATGTTGTAATTTTTTGGCCACCATATAGTGCATATTGCAACCTAAAAATGAGTTTCACTTTTAACAACAAGGGATATGTCATTGAAAGTGAATTTTAGCAAAAAAAGACATGTTGCTGCAATTTTTGGGTCACTTGAAGCATTAGCAATATATACCATGTTATTGATGCTATACATTACCAACAAAACTCATGTTGCTATTATTTTTATATTTTTAGCAACCAAAAATCAACAACAAGAAATATATTGTTGATATTACTACTTTGACTCGCAATTGCCCAAAGCCATTATATAAACACCTTTTCATGTAAAGAGTCTACTATTACTAAGAAAGATTCAACCCTCATTTTCAATAACTGATTCTTCAGCAAAAAAAATTTATATTTCTATGTGAAATATTTCTATAAACTCAAAAGTGTGTCCACATTATTTTTTTAGACAAATTAGAGATTTAAATAATTTAAATGAAGAGTGAATAACGTAATTATATTAATTAATGTGTTAAATGTTAAGTAATATTTAATAAAGTAACAAAAATTAACTAAGAAATTAAATTTTAGAGATAAAAATAAATTTTTTTAAGTAAATGAATCAAACAATGGGAAAAAATGATAATTTAAATTATTAGCAACATGATACACATTAGTGATAAGTTATGCCATTTTAAATTCAACCAAGTTTAACAACATGAAATATGTTGCTGATTGGGAGAACCTTTTAATAACATGATATATGACGCTAAAGGTTTTATAAATACTCTCACCTCCACCGAGGTGAGTAATGCTTTCATTTCTCCTCCCATTCTCTCCAACATGATAAGATCTCTGCCTCCTCGATTTCCCAACCTTTTTTTTTTTTGCACAAATCCTCTATATCTCACTCATTTTTTATTTATTAATTATTGTTAAGTATCATTTATTTATTATCTTTTAATTATCATAAAATTCTCAAACATATATCGGTAATTAAATTAATTTTCATCAACTTCTTTATTCTCTTGAGGCATATATTGTGATTATATTATATTCAATATTTTTATAAATATTAAGTGATTAAGTATGTTTTAATTTATTTGAAAGTTAATAAAATTATAAATAACTATATATAATAATGATTAATTTTGGTATTTTGTTTGTTTAGTAGGTAAATCGCATTAAAGTAAAAAAAATTCAAGTTTGGTAAACTTCCTAAACTGACATTAATTGCCTTGAGATGTTTATTTTAAATGTATTTAGCTAAAATTTAGATATAGATGATAAAAAATAAATATTAATTATTTAGTTATAATTTTTTGGTATAATTTATTATATTATGAGTGAGATATCATGAAATTTATTAATTAATGATTACAATTACAAAAAGTGAATTTTATAATTAAACAATACATTATTGTTAAATTTTATAACAACGCTGATAGACTTACCCACTTTTATCTCACACTCTGTTACACACACTTCTCCTCTGTTACTATCTCTGTTATTATTCGTTACACTCTGTTATTTTACATTAAGCAACCTTACTTTCTCTCTTTCCTTTCCTTTCCTTTCTCCTTTTTACTGTTTACCATCATGCTTGCTTGCTAATCAAAGCCATCAAAATCCCTCTGGATGATGAATTAAAAACATATAAAGAAATCATGAGAATCATCAGCCTCTTGAGCTCAAAAAACGCCTCTCCTTTTCACCCAGCATTGGTTGTTTGATTTTCAACCTTTTTCCTTCTTTTCCCTCCTCCTCCTTTCTTTTTCTTCTTCTTTCCTTCTCTTCCCCTCTTCTTCCTTCTCTTCCTCCCTCCTTGATTTGGGTTCTGGTGAACCCAAGGTTCTCGGGTTCTGGAGAGAACCCAAACTTGGGTTCTCCAAGAGAACCTGGGAGGGGAAAAGAAAAAAAGAGGAAGAAGGGGGGAAGAAGGAGAAAGGAAAGGAGTGAGAAAGAAAAGGTTGGGTGAGTGGAAGCCGTGACTGCATGTAACAGAAAACATTAGAGTGTAATGAGTGTGTAACGAAATGGTGTGGATGAATCATTTCCTATTTTATAATTACAGCATGAAATTAATTTAATTAAATTTTTTTAAATGTTAAGGTAACTGAGAAATATGTATTCATAATATTGGTAAAGAAAATTTATGAATTTATATTTTTTTTTCTAAATAAAATAGTATAGCAACATACCACTTGTCGGTAAAACAATTTGGGCATGCATGCTTGTACAATTGACAGGATAATCAGTAACAAGGGACTTGTTGCTAAAAGTATGATACTCTACTATGTATGAAAGTATCAGCAATAAGGGATATGTTACTGAAAAGGGTACCAAAATTCCAATGATTGGCTCTGATGACTATTTTTAGCAACATGAGCTACGTTAGTGAAGCTCCACTTTTAGCAACAAGGGATATGTTGCTGAAAAATGTGCAAAATTCCAGTGACCGGCTCCAGTGGCTTTTTTAACAACATGACTCATGTTAGTAAAACCAAACTTTCAATAACAAGGGGTATATTGCTGAAAAGAGTGTTATGAATTAGTAACATAAAACTTGTTGCTGATGTATTACAGACTAAAACTTCTCCAACAAAGACATCAGTAACATAATGTTGATGGGGAACTCTTTCACCAACAAACTACCATGCTGTTGAAAATTAGAGTTTTAGTAGTGTTTTAAAAATTTTATCCACTGTTTAGTTACAAGTGTTACTTGTCCCTTTTGAAAAAAAAAAAAATTAATACACTATTTAGTTGAATATATTTTTTTATACTTATCTAATTTAATTATTAAAATATAATATAAAAATAGTCAATTCATTTAGTTTTAACATATTGTATGCATTATTGTGTTTTTAAATTTATATATCTTTTAAACTAAACAATAATAATTTTTAAATAAATGTCTTATATAATATGTTGAACTATATAAATATTATATCAATCATTGTCCTCTCTTTTAGTACTAGGGGGATATTTGAATTTGAAGCCTTAAGGACGGATCGATCCATCTTGTTAAGTGGAAAATTAATCCTGCTTCTGTAAGAATGTTCACTCGAGACCTCAATTCCTGGTTAAAAGGAACTCTTAACCTTCTATGATGCTAACATTGGACACACTTGGGGCAGTTAAACGACCATAATTTGCACATTCGAAATCTACATATACTGTCTAAAATGGTGAGGCAATTCAAAACTATATTAACTACACAATTACATGCAATGGATAATAGATAACAAAGAAAGTAATTTCTAACATATCTGGTCTTATTCATAGCTTGGAGAGCTTGTTTTCAATCAGAGTAAAGGAATGGAATTAAATTAACTTCAAAGTTCGACGTTCATACAATTATACATATGTATATATAAAAGTTAAGGACAGCGATACTTACACCCATGAACCGGCACCCATTTTTACACCCAAATTGGTTTAAACAGTAAAATTACAAATTTACCCTTCTCACTAAATCTATTTCCCACGGAACAAATCCCAATCAAACTCAAGCATTCAAGCACATTCAACAACTAAATCCCAGCAAAATTCAAGCATTCAAGCACATTCAACAACAAAATCCCAGGAAAACTCAAACATTTTACCAAATCCATCCATCCAAAAAAGAAAAAAA